GTTCTGGCGAAACGTAAAGGAGTGCCATTTTATGCAGTGGTAAATTTTTATTTAAATTTTAATTTCAGTTTTACTTCGATAATTTTATTTTTGTTATGCTATGTATGTGTAAGGCTCGGTACTGGTTCTGACTGATAGCGGAGCTCAACTCAAGGTTGCACCAACCTTGGCTTTTTCACCGGATCCAGTTGAGCCTCTTTTTAGGGTTTGGATTGATTTGCACAAAGTTTCCAGAATGGTTATTTAACGCTCCTTGAGTCATGAAAAAACACGCTCTTTCGGTAACAATACTGGACAGTACTGGTGATTGACTGGTATACTTGGACGTCCTCTTATACCGAAATTTTCACAAACAATTCCCAACTCACACTCACACAACAGCAACAATTGTTGTATTGCTCGAGTGGGGAAGAAAAATTTTTAGTCCAGTGGACTAGCTTGAAGGCCCAGTTAACGATATCCTTGGGGAATCCGGTTTTCAAGATTAATGGAACTAACAGTCGAGAGAGTGCAAAGATAACGGTGAACAAACGGGAAATTCCACGCATTTAGAAGCTTCAAAAAAGTGCTAAAATTAGAGGTTGGACGAGAATGTGACCACAAAAGTTGTATGGATAATGAATTCGGTGTCATTGCGTACAGCTAACTACAGTAAGCCAAAAATGTTCAAAATTGTTTTCCAAACACCTGATGATCCTGGTCGCTGCTCTCTTATTTACTGCTACTCTAACAGAACTGGTATTCGAAAAAAATACTAGTCACAGGAGCAGCATTGGAATGAGAGAATAGCCTAAAATATGATAACTTACGCTATGATTATCAGCCGATTGATTTTTCACCAATGTTGCTCCAATGCAGACAGTGGTACACGGCAATTAGATTTCATAATCAGCCTAGCGGAAGACGACAAAATTTGAGCCCCCTTACTGCGCCCTATTGTGCCCATTTCTGGACGTTTTTCGACCTTATAACTGCAAGAATGGTATTAGAAGAGCCTCGAATTCATACTGTAGGAAAATCTCAGAAACCTCTTCATCGTGAACTGGACCTTTGAGGATCCGGTTTCGGCTGGATTTTTTGGTTTAAGGCTCCAAAGACGGCGAAGAGAGCATACGCTTGACAAATTTTCAGTCTTGATTCGGGAAAGGCTGAACCCAATATACACCAATCCTAGAAATCATTGTGGAAACGTTGTTGTAATAGAGCGATAGTTCTTTTATTCTAGGTCCCCTTCACCACCGTGAATCCATCCATACAATCTGGAAAGGACATCACAATTGAAGAGAGACCATCAGCTGAAATGATATCGATCAACGGTACTTTTAAACATTCATTTATATGAACTACAGAAAGTAAAAATTATGAGTAAAGGGCGACAGTTCTCGTCAGTTCTGTTGGTAGTCGCTATGTAGAGAGGATACAACGTTCACAGCCAAATAAGGGACAGAGGAGCGAAGNCTTTACTAGGTCATGTAAGTGTGGGCTCGAAAGTTACTCGAAGAATCTGACGAACGGGTATAGTGCAGTAGGATCGAAATTGTCTCGTCACGGCGTGATAGACGCCGCGCGCGAAGAAATGTAGCAGAATGCAGCGGCAAGAAAGAAATATATGAACAAAAGAACCAACATTAGAATTATGCCAAAAATAATAATCACATATCGATTGGGCTGTATGAAGACGCTAGTAATAACAAGACAACTGCCGCGCGCGGCGAATCGATTACACAAAACCGATCCTACTGCCCGTTTCCCGTGAGGAACAGCTACCGAGGCACGTGCGAGTCAGTGAGGCTATACTACCATGACATAATAGTGAGCCTAGGTCAATTGGTGCAAAATAAAATGGATGAGAGTTCACGCGATTGTACGTTCAGGTAGGTGTCCGTTCACCCTAGTTTTGAAGGCAGAAGGATGTGGGACAACGCTTTTTGGCCAACTGAGGTCGAAGTTCCTCTTGGAGGAGTCGATTTCTCACTGGTGTGACTACATGGGTGTGGGAGTGAAAAATGGGCAAAAAAAACCATTTTCATCAGCACTTGATTGCAGGAAAATTCATCGTGCCAGAGGAAACACCTGTCTGGAATCCGGCTTTCGATATAACCCCTGCAGAACTGATAAAGAAGATCATCACAGATCGCGGCAACTTCGTCCCGAATGACTTAAAATATGCCATTGAAAAGTGAATTTGCAACGTTTTCCTGTTACAGTTCAATTGAAAACTACTTTGAAGAATGTTGAAGATAAAGGTTGAGAGAACGGGATTTGTGGGCCGCTCACAGTTCTTTGTTAACTCTTTTTTCGGTAAAAAGCACAGACGTCAAAAATATCTCGTCACCGCCTCTATCTTCAACGAAACTTTTGACTTATTAACTTATTAACTCAATGTTTCAGAGTCTATCTTTCGTAGACAGACGTAAAGTAATATTTGATGATAATACTAAGCAATAACATTCAATAATAATAATAATGATAATAATAATAAGTAATAATAAATAATAATTACTGTAATGATAATGATAATAATAATAATAATAATAATAATAATAATAATAATAATAATAATAATAGTAATAATAATGAGTTGTGAATTTTCGTTTTTGAGAAACTGTTTTTTTCAGTACACTGAGTGACGTCATTTCATCATTGCTGGAAAATGAAACTCCAGAAAGCTATGGATTGATCTATGGCTGTTGTGAAGAAGTAAGTTTGAACTTCTTTTGAACCAATTTACATTAATGCCTTTTCACGATGAAGATCTACATGGGAGGAAAGCAGTGGTAGTGAATATGCTCATGTTGGAGTCCTCGATAGTTGAAAAAGTTTGGATTTTGGAATTCTCGTGATATTTCATTTTGTGCTGAGCGAACCGGAAAAGGAATGGGAGAAAGGAAGACTTGTGGTAACAGCTTGAACGAGAAGTCTTCTTCACTAGGAGGAGCCTCTCGAATATGAATTCCCGGTTTTGATCTCCCCTAAAATTGTTTCATCTGGTTTCAGTCACTTCCTTTCCAACGAGACCATATTGAACATTTAATCCCATTTTTCTCGCAATACCTAAGGCCAATAGATTAATACAATCTTGAAGGGCTTGAGAAAAACGCATTCTGACAGAACTATAGTAGTTATGCCAACATTGCAAGCAAGTTGGACATGGATACAGTAACCGCCGCGGGTACACAGCCGCTTGCCGTGGGGATTCGGGGAAAAGTACCGACACCCCCTACGCAGGTAGTCCCTCTCGTATATCGATTTGCGCACGACGTCCCAGACCGTTGATATGTCATCTGATCAAATCATCATTTTTTTTTTCATCATTGGTCCACTATTTCGACACTTTCGTTTTCATTACGAGCCCAGCCGCTGGTAGGTGGAAGCGAAAGGTTTTTACTTATTATTTATTACTCATTGAAATGATATGTGTATGATCCCGTAGATTTGTAATGATTCAGCTCCTGAGCTGATTGATTCCAATTTTCGACTAAAAATTGGCTTGAATATCCAGGGCTCACTTGTGCAGTTGCGTTCCCTATCCATATGACTGGCACTGGCTGCTTTCATAGTCCGCCGGCGCGCCGGCGTGCCAGCCGAGACAGTGCTAGTGGGGAGGGGAGAGGCAGACGGTCGGTCGAAGGGCTGAATACAAAGAAGAACAAGATTAAAAACCAAACAACCAGGAGCCTGTGCAAATGGTTTCTGATCCTGTCTCTCTTTGTTCACAGCCCTTCGAAGGGGCTTGGGCGCGACGCGACTGCATCGACCGACGGTCTGCCTCCCTCCTCTCCCTTAGCACTGCCTCGGCTGGCACGCCGGCTCGCCGGCAAGCCAGCACACACGCCGGCGGGCTATGAAAGCAGCCACTGCGAGTTAGATGATGAGTTAGGACTTTTATTCAAGACTGTTTTACGAATTGGTAACCAATGGCCCAAAAACCACATCATTATGTACTGAAAGCGATACCAAAGCGCTTCCTCTACTCTGAGCATAGTTCGCGATAAACTTTTGTACTTTTTTTTGGTTTGAGAGTGGGGAAAGAACTCTGATGCAGAGCAGTTAATCGATGACGAAAAAACGGGAAAAAAGAATGTCACGCAGGCATAGAGTTGGGGTGTGGTTGACAGCCACTCAACAATTACTAAGTCGTTCAGAAAGTATCTCCAGAAATTCCGTAGGGGTCCAGATTGTTTCTGGGTATTGTTGAAGCCTAGAACCCCCGTCGGCTATTTCGGCTTCTTTTTTTGCGATAACATATTGAAAATGTGAAAAAAGTCTTTTTCAGCTTCTGGCGTTGAAACCCGCGCAGTCGAAGTTGGTTCTGATGACTATTTGTAGTCAGAAAACATTGGATAACTCGATATGCGGAAGTGCGTTAAGTCGAACTTCACTATTATTCGAATGTAGTAACAAAACTATTAGTTTTACTGAAGTAAAGGGCTCTTCTCTTCATAGATTGAATATTTTTCACTTAGAAGTCTTTCATGTACTACATCAAACGGACCAGCTTGAAATCATTTATCTGTTGGAGACAAGGCCTTGCAACCAGGTGAGTCTGTTTAGGTTGCCATCTTTTCCTTTTGGCTTTCCCTCCCAGACGAGTTTGTTACCAGTTAACTAATGGCGGAGGTATGGAAGGCTTCCTAATCTTGAACGAGCATTCGATCTGGGATCAAAATAGTAAATATAGTAATAATGACTGATCCTTATTAATCCAGCAGCTGCTGAACTTGAAATATTAAGGAACTTCGCGCAAGAGTCACCGAATTTCTTGAGGCCAAAATACCCTTCAAGTTGATAACGGACAGTATGGCAGGGTGGACGATGAAGACACATCCCATTCATGCGGTCCTTATTGGTGAGTTGAAGATCGATTCAGAGTAAAATCGCTAGTTATACCCGTCGGAAGTATATCATGTTTTACTGGAACCACGCTTCAGTAATTCGCGTCAGTGGGGTAGGGCAGTACGTCCGGGATTTGTGATTGCACTTATGGCAACTTCAGTTGTTCTCTGTTCTGATATTTGGATTTTATTTGGTCCGTCCTGAAGGCCTGACAAACGGGCTTCATGTCCCGAATACCTTTCAAGAACTTCTACTCAGTTCTATCTAGGTTGGACTGCACAGTAAGCAGGTTCTCAGGGAGCGCAGAATTTGATGTGCTTGTCTTTACAGAACCTGATCAAGTTGGCGAAAGAGGAAATTTACTTAATACGACTGGAACGCATACATTGGCCGTCCTAGCAGAGTATCACAAAGTACCGTTTTATGCTGTGGTAAGTACTTTTTATATTATGTTATATTTACAAAGCTACAAAGCCAGTATCATCCGATGATGGAGCTCTTTAGACGGCCAGGAAACGTCGAAAAGTACTTTGGTCAGCCTTTGCTCAAGTGTCAGTTATAGCCTCCCAAGGGGAAGACGGGCCGTAGGAACGGCTTTGGGTAATCGATCCGCCGCACGCGGCTGTCACGGACCATTTGCCCCGTTGCAACAGTTCTAGCTTTCTTCATACACCTCAATCGCTATGCGATGATTACCGTTGGCATGATTCTACTGATAGCTCTTTTATTCCTGGATTTCTGACTTGCCGCTGCATTCTGCTATGTTCCTTCGCGCGCGGCGTCTCTCTCGCCGCGACCGACAATTTGGTTCCTACTGCACCACACCCCCTCCCAGGTCACTAGGATGCAAATTACCTTTGCGAACTAAAACTAAGCCATTGAAAAGAGCGGTTGCTAACTGAAATCCGAGAGAAGGATGCTTGCTATTGTTTTGGCATGTGGCGATTTATGGTCAGAAATATGGGGACGTTTCGCGCGTCCGTTAAGACCAGGTCCCCTCCCTCTTCGCACCCGACGCAGTCCACCGAGGTCTCGAGATGACATTACAGTACCACCAAGTGTCGGTAGAGCGAATGAGTTGCACTAGACCGTCTTATCCTCTCTTTGAATTGCCTACCGTTCACCAAGCGCAGATCGTATGCCCCACTGACAACTGCGACGTCCGTCAAGTTTCGCGGGCTGACGCGTCGCATGCGATGGCTAGTTTCGGCAGACGCGCGAAACGAAACACACCCAAAAATATGGCAGCTATGTAGGTATCCAGCCTATACACTGATTTCAAGGGGTTAGGCGGTATACAAAACAGCGCATGTACTCTATCAGATAAGTCTTCTGTTAACGATCGACATCGGATAAGGGATGGCTTTGTTAGCATTGTTTTGGGACTGGATTCCTTATCATAGTGTCGTAGGGCATCACCCGATGGATTATGAGTGTCAACATTTGGACGCCTTTCAATTTTGGGCCTGAAAGCATCATAAAGTTGGGGTTACTGTATGAAATTCGAGACGAATATTACAGGTGTCGGTCGCTTCAGTGAGGGAAACACTGGAGAAAGGGTATAGTGAAGATTCCGAGGAAAGGCCAGCTATCGACGTGTTGTCTGTAAATGGTAAGACCTGTCTCATTTTTCCCGACTATGAAAAACATAATTTCTTTGATCTCTCATTACATGACAATCGTTTGTTTGTGAGTAAACAGTCGAAGGTTTTTCTTGAGCAATTCATTGCAGGTGAATTTGTCGGCAAAGAAGACACGCCAGTTTTGAACCCGATTACGGATCACACCCCATCACTTTTGGTCACAAAAATTATTACGGATCTAGGAAGCTTTGTACCAAGAAAGCTGTTGCGTGCAGTCGCCAACAGCAGCCCTTGTTAGAATTATTCTGCTCTTACTATACTGTTGGAATTTACTGAAGAATATGCTAGAATATGAATAGAAGTCAGAGGCTGCGCTGAGTATGGACCAGGATACTCGGGACCCCATAGCTCTCAAAATTCTGATGGAAACATGTTTTTGTGATGTTTCACCTCCTACAAGATCTGCTAGAGACTGGAATATGAATGTGTGGGAAATGTAACCGATCAGAGGGTATATCGCAGCCTATTCCTTCAGCACTTTGACGACATAGCATGTTCTTACTTGTCATCTGGGTATGGGTCAGGATGTGCTGTAGCCGTGATGCATCACGGCCTGGACTTTTCATGCCAAGTTTTCTCATCTTTGTTAGTGTAGGAGATGAAATCATCAGATGCATAGCTAAAGCAGCTTATATACACGACCTAGTTTAAGCTTTAAAGCCCTGATGACACTTCCTGACCCATACCTTGCATACGTCACACAA